GGAATAGTTCCAAGATAGCATTTCCAAAAAAAATGTTTGAACAAAATTCCGATTTCTTTGTAAAATAAGCATACAAATGTTTGCCTGATTGCAACTATTTCAATATTAAAATAAACACTACCAGCTTCCAACATGTTTCAGGAAGTTTAAATACCTTCTGAAAATATTACCTTCAAATGTCTATGCAATGCTGGCAAATTTTCACTATATTGATTTTTGTTAAAGCGTAAGCAAAAAATTCAGCAAATCAATTGAATTGAAATCATAATCCCACGAACGTGATTATGCCGCAATGGGAAATTTAAAGGAAAAAAAATAAAAACTATATTTATTTTTCCTGGTTGCCACATTGCAGAGAGTACTTCAGCTTCTATGAAGCAGAAGAACGCGCGCGCGATTTAAAAACAAAAAGATTTTAACATCATATAAGCGAAAATAGGATACACTTATAACGGTTACTATTTGAATAATAATTTAAGAGCCTGCGGCGTATATGCATATATACGTATGTGTGTGTTCGGTTATAAGTACCAAAGTGAAAAGTGGGAGGAACTCCCAACACTTTGCATAATAGCTACCGAATTGGGTCAAACACTACTAGTTACAAAAGCAACAACAAAAACAAAAAAAATCAAATAGTTTGGTATACATTAATTTCAAATGGAATATAGGAGCAAGAGGAGGAGGAGAAGAGCCGATAGACAGTGTTATACCGCCGATATAGGTAGTTTAATAAATGACACCAGAAAGAAAAAAACACCGAATCAAAACCAACAATATTCCTGTTGTTACCAACGCCAACAATGTAAGGAAGGATTGGAAAAAGGCATTTTCATTCATTCACTCATTTATTTATTCAGTTTCAGTATTTTTGCTGCTGTTGTTGTTGTCAGTGTTGAATTGGGGTGTAAATATTTGTTGCATTTTCGATTGCTGGCAAACAGAAAAACTTTCAGATCGTTAAGCAGCAGGCACTTGAGGCAAAAGTGAACGCCACTGAACGCGAAAAATATCCGAGACTATGTGGAAGAGAAATGCGACTGCAGCCAGAAGCCGATTTTTTTTATAACTACCGTTGTGTTGAATGGTTGTTGACTGTCCCCACACGGACAAGGAAGCTTTGTTGGCTGGCTGGCTGGTTGGCAGACAGACACACATTGTTGTCCCAGAAATTAAAAGGAACTAATTGTTGGTGAAAAATCAGAACGACGTTTCTTATGCAAATGTAAATGTAAAAACATACAATTTGCATATGTGCATACATATATACATATGTATATATGTATGTATATATGTATGTAATGAAAATTAAATATATGCCGAGAGACACAGTGGAATTAAAATGTGAACTATTTTAAATGTAATGGGAATTTTATATATTTTTTCAATAATATTGGAAGGATTATCCGAAGTATTATTTTTATGCCCTACGCCACTATGTTGTCAGGTATTATAACTTTGTGCAGCCCCAAGAGTTTATAGCACCGCGAAATATTGTTCCTAGACCCACCTTTAAGTATACCGATCGTCATATCTGGACTAATTGAGTTGATCTAGACATGTGTGTCCGTCCGTCCGTTTGTCCATATTATAATTTGTATACACAATACAGGCCACAGTTATGGAAAAATCGTTACGAAATTTTGCATGTAGGATGGATTCTGGCCAATGAAGACACCTATTGTTTTTGGTAATGATCCGTTAATATTTAGGGGATGAAATGGACCAATAACTGTATTTTTGTATTGTATTAAAAACTGTATTTTGATCCCCTTGAAATTTTACATGAAGATTGGGGTTTGGTCAAGGACGACGCTTATAATTTTCGGTGATGTTGTGATGATATTTATGGGGTGCAATGAACCGAAAACTATATTTTTTATCAGATTTTCTAGTCACTCTAGAGGTCATTATAGTATGCAGAACATCACATATTTTACATGGTGAATGGGATCTGACCAAATACTTCGAACGGCGGTTTAGATGATGATCGGTCAATATATTGAAATTTTTCATTGCAGAAAAAATCTGTATGAGTACGTCCCTGGAGGCGATACCTAAAGCTGGACCACTATTCATTACATCGTGTAGAAATTACCGAACATTTGAAGTTATCATTATTTGAGGTGCTATGCCTAATTGAGTACTGATATAGCACAATTTCGAAACTAAAATTTGTGCATCAAAATAACTTCCTTTACGCTAAATATTAACAATACCGAAAATCGGTAGGTATCATGACCTACCTGCGTTTTTTATCTCGATATCCTCCGCAGGTATAATGATTACAACTAAGTCTTAGAACCCAACCCAAAGCGCGGAACGAATCAGATAACTATTTTAATATAAACAAGTGAAAAAGCGTTAAGTTCGGCCGGGCCGAACTTTGGATACTCTCCACCATAGATATACTGACAGGTACTAGAAATGAAAATATAGGGAACATACCAAAAAGTGGACCTATGCCAACATTTCTAAAAACGGATTATGTAAACCTTAATACAAATTTCAGAAATTTATTTAAATTTTTTTATAATGGATAATTGTACCCTCAGCATTATGGCCAATGAGGGTATATACATTTTAACACGGTGAAAATGTGTCTCAATGTGGTTCTAGACCCCATGTTTCTTTGGACCAAATCCGTTTCAGAAAAATTATATTTCATTCAAACTTTTCCCATTTTATTATTTCTCCAAACTTAGTTCAAATTCGAAGATGGGGAAAATCGGTCCACTCCTTCTGGAACCTCCACACAGGGACTAAATGCGGCTATAGTTCATTATCGAATCTTACGTTCTAATTTGATATCTCGCTATCTTCCGCAGGTGAAATGATTACAAGAGAGTCTTAGAACCAAACTCAAAACGCGGAACAAATCAGATAACTATTTTAATATAAAAAAGAGGGTTATATGGGACTACCCCAAAAAAGGGGCGAATATTAAAATTTTTTGGTAGGAAGATTTGTTACCATATACGACTACAAAATACCAAATTGCAGCAAATTCCATTGAAAAACGCGCTCAAGAACCCCAAAATACCGAAAATTGGGGGTACCCTTATATGGGGGCTATCCGAAAAAATTGACCCATACTCATAATTTTTTGTGAAGAGATTTGCTACGCAATAAGAACTCAAAGTACCAAATTTCAGAGAATTCTGTTGAAAAGCGCGTTCAAGAACCCCATAATACCGAAAATTGGAGGTACCCTTATATAAGGGCTACCCGAAAAAATGGACCTAAATTTATAATTTTTTGTGGAGAGATTTAATACCCGATAAGAACTCAAAATACTAAATTACAGCCACTTCGGTGAAAAAATGCGGTCAAAACCCCCCAAAAACTGAAAATTGGGAGGTACCGTTATATGGGGGCTACCAGAAAAAGTGGACCTATATTTATAATTTTTAGGTAAGAAATTTGGTATCCAAAAAGAACCCATTTTACCAAATTTCAGCGAATTTGGTTGAAAAACGCGCTCAAGGACCCCAAAATGCTGAAAATTTGGGGGTACCCTTATATGAGGGCCACCCGAAAAAATTGACCTATATTTATAATTTTTTGTGGGGAGATATGATACCCAATAAGAACCCAAAATACAAAATTACAGCCAATTCGGTGAAAAAAATGCGATCAAAACGCCCCAAAAACTGAAAATTGGGAGGTACCGTTATATGGGGGCTACCAGAAAAAGTGGACCTATATTTATAATTTTTAGTTGAGAAATTTGGTATCTAAAGAGAACCCATTTTACCAAATTTCAGCGAATTTGGTTGAAAAACGCGCTCAAGAACCCCAAAATACTGAAAATTTGGGGGTACCCTTATATGGGAGGTATGTCTAAACGTGGACCGATATAGCCCATCTTCGAACTTAACCTGCCTGCGGACAAAAATACGCCTCAATGCAAAATTTTGTCGACCTATCTCAATTCGTTTAGACGCTAGAGTGATTACAACAGACAGGCGGACATGCTTATCGTCATAGAATTTTACCTGATCAAGAATATATATATACTTTATAGGGTCGGAAATGATTATTTCGATGAGTTACAAGCGGAAAAACAAAATTAATATACCCTCCATACTATGATGGAGGGTATAAAAAACGACAATATCTGAAATTCTACCATACGAGTAAGGGACTATAAACGACATACACTGGATTATATTCTATATGAAGACTCCATGGAATATTTGGGGTTGATAAAATAAATTAAATTTGAGTTTTTTTTTCTCAATTCGCAGACTTGAGAGATATATAGGGCTTTGATCCAGTTTGTATGTTTTGATATTAAATTATTACCGGACCTTTTATTAAAAATACATTATTTAATTACTATGAAAGGAAACTTCTCGTTCTTCACAAGTTTCCTGGTTAATGGTGCATACATACTGAAATATCCTACTCCATCTTTACAAAAAAATAAAAAAATACCTGGGTGCATAAATATTAATTTCTTATTTGTATTTTTTAACGAATGCTTATATTATGCAATGAAGCATCATAAAAAATTATAATTTATACGTATTTAGTAGCTAGCTACCTTATTTGTAAGCCCCCATATCCACAAAGTAACCCCTTTACCTATGTATGTAATAAGTAAGCCTCCTCGTATATACCTCTATAAACCATATAACGGGCAAGCAACCCTCTTTTGTAGGTTCTGTTTTATTATTTGCATCATCATTCTCCTCCTCTTTTTTGTTCAATTTTATGTTGGTTGGCTTATTTCAACATGTTAGTGATTTACGTAAATGTGTATGTGTATACTTTTTGTGGTCCTCTAGCCTCCAACAGTTTCCCGGCCCCACCCCAACTTAAGCCATTACATAGAGCATAGAGAGTATTAGTGCCCTACGAATATCCCCACCACCTAGGTAATATGGCTATTGCATTTGGTTTATTTTGCTCTGTGTGTGTTTCCCTACTTGTTCCAATTTTTTCTCTGTGTGCGTTCTTTTTTTATTCCAATATTTTTCTTGATTGCATTCTAGGGTCGTTTATTCACTAAAACCAAATTCGAATAGCCGCAGTTATTTACCGGCAAATATAACCGTACATGGCACATATCACACCAATATCATTACCGGACCAATTGAATTATGGTAAAATTTGAAAATTGTGTAATTTTTTATTTTATTTCAAAAAAAAAAAAAACATATTCAACAAAATTATAAAAAAGTGTATCTCAAAAAAAAAGTATTTTAAATTTAAGAATGGTGCCGATGTTTTTTTTATTTAATTTTTGCACACGTGATAGAAGTTTTCAAAATTATGAATTTCAAATATAAAATTTGAATTAATAATTAGTTCAATAAATTTGGTTTTCGATTTAAGTTTTTAGAAAAAAAAATATATATAATCTAAAAATTTTGGTATCAGGTGTGCAAAAATCCTCTTTTTAAATTGAATATCAAAATTCAACTGTCATAATCATCTGCATTTAGGATTAATGCATGAGATTGCACTTCGTAGGGTGTAAAATGAAAACAGTATTTGAACTTTTGTAATTATTAAAAGTTCCTATTCTTAATTTAAAAAACCAATTTCTAAGATCGCATGTATCGAAAAATTTTAATTTGGTCCCCATTTTCCAAGTGGCTGATTTATTACTTAATCCCGGGCTAAGGTTGGATTTTTTAAAATATTTTTTGAGGGCTATCAGAAGCTTTTATGTTTTAAAAATAGTTCTGAGTCGAGTTATGCATGTCCGTCCGTCTGTCTGTCGATGTTAAATTGTAAACAAAGTACAGGTCGCATTTATGATCCGAATTGGATGAAATTTGGCACAGTTCAATTATTTGGCCCAAGGACGAACCCTATTGAAATTGGGAAAAATCGGTTTAGATTTATATATAGCTCCCATATATAGTTTCGTCCGATTTGAGGTAAATAATGCACCAAAGTCCCTATCTATTCTTCGATTTGCACAAAATTTGGCATAGTGTACTGAATACAGTCGAGAACGATGTGTGTCAAATTTCATAAAAATCGGCTCAAAGTACCTATATATTTCGATTTGCACGAAATTTGGCATAACTGAATTGAGCCTAGAGTGATGTCTGCCAAGTTTCGTAATCGGTTCAGATTTAGACATAGCTCCTGTATATAGTTTCGTCCGATTTAAGGTAAATGGGGCACTAAAGTCCCTATATATATTTCGATTTGTATAAAATTTGACATATAGTTCGGAATTAGGTCCAGAATGGTGTGCGCTAAGTTTCATAAAAATCGGTTAAGATTTTTAATTATATTTATACCCTACACAACTATGTATTATAGCTTTGTGCAGCCCCAAGAGTTTTTCAACGCCCCGAAATATTGGTCCTAGACGTACCTTTAAGTATACCGATCGTCATATCTCGACTAGCTGAGTCGATCTAGACATGTATGTCCGTCCGTCCGTCTGTCCATTATAATTTGTAAACACGATACAGGCCACAGTTATGGACCAATCTTCACGAAATTTTGCATGTAGGATGGGTTCTGGCCAATGAAGACCCCTATTTTTGGAAAAGATTGGTTAATATTTAGGGGATGAAATGGACCAAAAACATTATTTTTGTCGGTTTTTCTGGTCGCTCCAGAGGCCGCAATTATGACCCAAACACCGAAAATTTTTGCAAGGAGAAGGGGATTGGGCCTATGAATAAGTATGCCTGTTTTGATAAAGATCGGTCAATATTTAGCGTGTCAAATGGACCCTGACTTTTGTGTGAAAAATTACAAAATTTGTATTCTATGGGGTATACATTTGTACCTGAAGGTCCTAGACTCGAGAAGTTGATAGTATGTTCAAGAGGAGTGGTTGATCTTTAAATTGATACCAATTATATTGTCGTATGTACTCGGATGCGGGACTTACACATAAATATTTACAGGTGCTTACGTATTCATATATTATTTAGTAACCCATTACCACACTAGAGGGCGGAAATATAGCGCTGATCGCTTTGAAATTTTCCATGAGGTTCAAGTTATGGTCACCGACAACGCCTATAATTTTTGGTGATGATCATATAATAATTTTGGGATGAAGTGGACCGAAAACTGAATTGAAAGCCGAACATCACAACACAACCCACGGTAAAGGGAATCTGGAATAAATATCCGCAGAAAGTTAGAGTTCCGTGGTAGTTGTGTAGGGAATCGTATGGTCGGCCCCATCCGACTATACTGCTCCGCTCACTGGTTTGAAATTGGGGAACATCGGTTCAGATATAGCTCCCATATATATTTTCGTCCGACGGGCATACAATTTTGTACAATGTACTGAAGTTACTATAATTGAATGTTTTATACGTTGAAGTTCAATTTCATGTCAATGTTCCTTAGAAAAGGCGACGTCTGTTAGGAGACACATGTAGAATATACCCTAAGTGGTGAAGTGTATCACATAGTCGGCCCAGTCCGATATTTAAAAAAAAAAATATGTTTAGGGGACTGTAAGAAGCGTAGATTAAAAAAATATACTTTAAAAATACTACTACAACCGTAGATCTTTTAAAAATACTACAACAATCGTAGAGTTTATTTTTTTAAGGACTGTAAGAAGCGTAGATGATTTTAGAAGCTTACAACAAGCGTATATTTTTTAGAAGATTACAACAAGGGTAGATTTTTAAAAATATTTTTTAGAAGATTACAACAAGCGTATGTTTTCTAACAAAAATGTTTTAATTACTATTAGAAAAATATGTTTTTTTTTATAAAATAATTTTATAAAAACATATTTTTTTTAATTATGTTTTTCCTAGGGACTTCCACAATTGTATATTTTTAAATAAAATATATTTTTTTAAGAAGCATCATGGATTTTTTTAATATGAACAATATCCATTTTATCCGGAAATCGCCTTAGTCGTTTAACGTTGCCCCTCTTTTTGATATCTAAACCAAATTCAATTTAAAACCCTGCATCCTCAATACCACCCCATCACACCTCTACTCTACCTATTGCACAACGGGTAATTTATTTTCTAATCTAAAAATAATGTTTGACATGATTTCTAAATTAAATATTCTACCAAGCATATCAATTTCTGTCTACCTCTCATCCTTCATCTCTCACTTTGCCACTTTGAAAAACGTCCTTGAATGAAATCTAAACTAACCTCCTCGTATCTAAGTTCACATTCGTTTAAGGATTATTTTTAAGATACAGAAGCCCAGAACATTGCAGCTCATCTTTGAGTGCTGCTGCATCTCTCTCTGTGTGTGTGAACTAGATTTGTCGTACATTCTTTTGTAATGTTGTTGACCCAAAAGATAGATGCGACAAATAGTGAAAAGACACACCTCCTTCACTCAAACAAACGGAGGAGGAGAAATCATGTTTTCTTATTGCAAAAAAGCGATGTTCATCATGACCCACTAACCATACAATTGCATTAGTTTTAAACATATGGCTAATCTCAGAGGCCTAGATGTTTTAGGAGAAGAAAACAAATGCTAACTGCTTTGGGCAAAATCTAAATGTCTACAGATTTGTAGTTTTATTTATTTATAGCAAAACACATTTTGTGAGGATAGTCCTTTGAGGAAGAAATAATGTGTTTTCTGGTTGCAAAGGCTGTTAAAACTTAATTTATGTATTAGGTATTTTTAGGGTGAGGTTAAATATTTAAATATCCTAGAGCACATTTTTTACGATGTTGGGTACAAATGGGTAAAAATAGTTAAAACAAAAAATATATTTCCAATACACTCTTCTACAAAGAGTTTCAGTGGTCTATTTTTTGTCATACATTTTGGGAATACCCATTGGAATCTGAAATGTATTACAAGGGTACTGAGTGTACCTCTTGGACTTAGAAGGATCCGTCTTTGCAGAGAGCAGGCTATGTTTTTTTAAGAGAACATCTGAAGTGTATCAGAGATCATTTAAGGATCTACAAGAAGTTTTAAAACAATTATAAATACGCTGCTACGTAGAAGGGATGTCAAAAGTAATCTTTTCACTCTATTAACCTGCTTGAAGTCCATAGATCCCGAAAAATGGCCTCTAAAATTCCGCGTTACCATTTCAAAATTCCTAAAAACAATATGGGTATCAATTCAAAACGACACAAAAGCCAGTTGTTAAAATATAATTATCTTAATAAAAAAAGTCCATATTTTGGGAGACGTTCTTATTTTATTTAGAAGTAGGTGGTCGACGGAATCTCCTTTTAATTGCATTCGGCCGGCAATTTATGACTTTCTCCTATGGACAAATGGAAACTCTGGCTATCCAACTTAATCTCCTCTGCATAAACATTGTGTCCCAATACATTTATTTTCAAATCAATGTCTTTAAAAAAAGTACATTCTATAAGAAAATTACAATTTTGAAGGCAGGACTTCAAAACGTTGCCTTAGACAATTTTTGAAATAAAGGGCCCAAGCTAAACTTTGAACGCCTATTTATGCCTCAACCCAAAAACATGATCTATTGCAACTTTTCATAATATACTCCCAAGGGCTTTCATTGTCGTAAGTAATTTTTCACCCCAGACCACGAATTCGATTTGGTATCACAGAGTTATTAGAGTTCAATTGTTCATTAATGATCTAATTCTATTGTATCTAATTCCGCAAATCTATGAGGTACACCACAATTGGTTTGCCCGATGTAGGAAGACGAACAAGAGAAGACGAGTCATTTTGCACTATGGGAACGTGAACTCTGAAATCGTCTCAAACCGGCGCCCCATTGACCGGTCAAAAGGTGTTAACGTTGGGTCATCCCCCGTACAATGCTATCTTGAAACGACTGACTTTGTTTAACACCCCATCAATCAAAAATATATGTATGGTCAACGATTTTTTATAGCCAAATACTGTTGAAGCTTCAAAAAATTGTATTTGGAGTTCTCAAAAAGTTTTACGCCAATTGGGTCAAGCGCATGATGGTCGAACACTGGAAAATACTTTGCAAAACAATAACACCACATTTGATGATAAATATTCGCATTTAAATTATTAGACCAAAAATAGATACAGAGGCCCTCGTAAACTATTGAAAGGCTTTTTCAGAAAGGCCTTTCTCTTCTTATTAAAAAAATGAACCGAAAACCAGTAAGGAAAGTAGTAAAGTCGGACGGGGCCGACTATATAATACCCT